CACCGCAACCTCCGCCTCCTGGGTTCAGGCAATTCTCCTGCCTCAGCCTCCTGAGTAGCTGGGATTACAGGCATGCACCACCATGCCCAGCTAATTTTTGTATTTTTGGTAGAGACGGGGTTTCACCATGTTGACCAGGTTGGTCTCGATCTCTTGACCTCGTGATCCACCCACCTCGGCCTCCCAAAGTGCTGGGATTACAGGCTTGAGCCACCGCGCCCGGCCAGCCTATTTTATTTTATTAGAGAGGGTCTGGCTTTGTGTCCCAGACTGGAGTGCAGTGGCACAATCACAGCTCACTGCAGCCTCTGCCTCCCGAGCCCAACCGATCCTCCCACTTCAGTCTCCCAAGTAGTAGCGACCATGCCACCGCACCCTGCTAATTTTATTTTTCTGGAATGGAGTCTCACTGTGTTGCCCAGCCTGGTCTTGAACGCTTGACCTCAAGCAATTCTCCCACCTTGACTTCCCACAGTGCTGGGATTACAGGTGGAAACTACCGTGCCTAGCCACATTTTAGCTTTTTATTATAAAATTTTTCAAACTTTACATCAAAATAGAATAGTATAATGAACTCTAATATACCGGTCACCCAAATTTTGTTTTTAACAAAAACACAAGTCTCATCCCTCAGGGCAAATTTTTTGTGGCAGTCCATGGGATATAAATAATCTATCAAGCTAGGCATGGTGGCTGATGCCTGTAATCCCAACACTTTAGGAGGCTAAGGCGGCCTGATTGCTTGAGCCCAGGCGTTTAATACCAGCCTGTACAACATGGTGAAACCCTGTCTCTACGAAAAATTAAACAGATGTGATGGCGTGTGCCCGTAGTTCCTACTCCAGAATCATCTGAAGTCAAGGTCGTAGTGAGCCATAATCGTGCCTGGGCAACAGAGTGAGACGCTGTCTTAAAAATAAATAGGTAGGGCTGGTCCGATGGTAGCAGGTATCAGAACTTATTAATAGTGTCACTAAAGTTGGTTTACAACCCCCCCAACCGCTAAATTTGACTGGCTAAAAAAAAATAAGTAGGCTGGGTGCAGTGGCTCACACCTATAATCCCAGCACTTTTGGGAGGTTGAGGCAGGCAGATCATGAGGTCAGGAGTTTGAGACCAGTCTGGCCAACATGATGAAACCTCATCTCTACTAAAAATACAAAAATGAGCCTGGCATGGTGGCAGGTGCTAGTAATGCCAGGTACTCAGGAGGCTGAGGCAGAGAACTGCTTGAACCCAGGAGGTGGAGGTTGCAGTGAGCCAAGATTGTGCCACTGCACTCCAGCCTGGGCAACAGATAGAGACTCTGTCTCAAATAAATAAATAAATACATAATTATCGAGGAAGCCCCACATCTCAGAGTGTTAACTGCTCCAGTCACTTGGTGCTGTCGAATTACAGCCTGTTTAGCAATTCTTACCATCTATAATTTGAGAACTTACTACCCACCAGAAACTAAGTGCTTTGCAAACATTACTATTAATTGTAGCAAATATGTACTTTGGACTTACCATGCGCAGTCTTTACTAAGGGCTTTATGGGCCTTATTTCATTTAATCCTATGAGATTGATGATTTGCCAATTTTACAGATGAAAAAACAGACAGTAGTTAGGGGTTGGTGGGGTTTTATTTTATTTTATTTTTTGGTTTTTGTTTGGAGACAGAGTCTCACTGTGTCAACCAAGCTGGAGTGCAGTGGCAGAATCAGGGCTCACTACAGCCTCCACATCCTGGGCTCAAGCAATCATCTCACCTCAGCCTCCCTAGTAGCTGGGACTACAGGCGTGTGCCACCACATTGGGCTAATTTTTTGTAGAGACAGAGTTTTACAATGTAGCCCAGGCTGGTCTCAAACTCCTGGGCTCAAGCAATCAGCCTACCTTGGCCTCTCAAAGTGCTGAGATTACAGGCATGAGATACCATGCCCCGCCTGTAGTTAGGGTTTGGACACATTCTGTGTGACACCAACATCTATCCTCTTTAACAGCCAGATTACATAGCCTCTTTGTAGTAATAAACGTTGAGTGAATGAATATATTTATGTGTCAGTGAACATTGCCAGGGTATACATATTTTTCCAATTATAAACTAGAGAGCAATCCACTGTGCCCCAGCACCTGCATCATACCTGCTCTAAAGCACTTATTGGGTTGTATTGCAGTGATTTGTCTACACCACTAGTATTCCCTATACTGACTTATGTCCCTGGGGATTAGCCAATTCTTGGGAAACACCTGGAACTCAAAAACAGTTTGCTAAGTGAATGAATGAGAGGCCCAAACTACTTCTCTTCAGTGCCATACAGTGCAGCTCACATACAGGCTCACATACGAGTTCAAAGACCACAGGCTTCTACCTGGACAGCTCAGCTCTCCTCATAACTCCGGAGAAACCCTGGACATGCCAGGGTGTCCTGTTGAGTGATTGCATCCAGAAGAGGGGGAGGATGTCCCAAACACTAAGTAATCCAGGTTTGGGTTGGAAAACAAGGTTGAAGTTATTCATTAGCAGGTGAAAGGGTCAAGGGTCGAGTGCAAGGGAAAAGCAGAGTGGAGTGAGCAGCCAGTAGGGGAGAGAGCAGTTAAGGCACACAGAGCACCAGCTCCCTCCTGCCTGAAGATGTTCTACCAAATTTGGGTAGCTCTGCTCTACCTCTATGGTATTATTCTTAACTTCATCTACCAGTGCCCTGAGCACAGTCAACTGACAACTCTGGGCGTGGATGGGAAGGAGGTATGGACTGAGACTGGGGGAAGCCCATGGTGGAAGCTCTGAGGGACTTGGGTGGATGGCCTAAGATGACTGGAAGCCATCTTGGGAAAGGAAGGGAGGAAGGGGGTGTGAGTGTTGTGTTAATGAAAGCAAGAAGAAAAATATCAGTACTGTGGCCATCAATGCAGAGGCATGGCAGAATTGGGGGGTGGGGTAGTTACCCAGGTTGATTGGAGAGGGGCAAAGAGGAAAAGTCATTTAATGACTCTGTCATGGATCTAATCCCAGCTGGAAAGAGGAAGGCAGCCAACACCTCTACCCCTAAGTCTTGCTGTCCTGCCTGATGAAGAGGTTGGACCTGTCCTGTGCTGGAACCCACCCTCTTTCGCTCCCCTCATTGTCTCTCCAGCTCCCAGAGGTCTACCTGGGCCAGTGGTACTTTATTGCAGGGGCAGCTCCCACCAAAAAGGAGTTGGCAACTTTTGACCCTGTGGACAGCATTGTCTTCAACATGGCTGCTGGCTCTGCCCCAATGCAGCTCCACCTTCGTGCTACCATCCGCATGTGAGTGGTGAGGAGGCAGAAGCATCAGTGGGTTCAGTCTCTGCCCAAAGTGTGACAACTCACCCACCAGAGCTGGGCTCTTAGCTGATATATCCATTATTCTTGACCCATGGAATTCAATGGCTGTATTGTCCTCTGGAGAGAGATGGGCCTAACCAATGCTTAGTAGCTTGAAATCCAAGGAGAGCTGGGCTTCAATAAAGAATAAGATGGAGTAAATAGAAGCTGGTACACTGTAGTTGGGTTCATGCTCATTCTTTCCTCCTTGCCACCATGACCTCTGCAGGAAAGATGGGCACTGTGTGCCCCGGAAATGGATCTACCACCTGACTGAAGGGAGCACAGATCTCAGAACTGAAGGTTGGTTCTTCCCAGCCCTCACCCTTCCCATGTCCCCTGAGCTTGGTTCTGCACCTCTGTTCTCATGCTTCTCCGAACCTACCTTGACAGGCCGCCCTGACATGAAGACTGAGCTCTTTTCCAGCTCATGCCCAGGTGGAATCATGCTGAATGAGACAGGCCAGGGTTACCAGCGCTTTCTCCTCTACAGTGAGTGGGGATGCAAGGCAGGAAGGTTTGGAGGGAAACAAGGGAGGGCGGAGAACTCCTCACTCTGGGCCCTATGACATCCTCCCAGGAAGAGCTAGGTGCTTCCAGGGGTTTTGACTGGCCTGGCCCCATCTTGCCCTTCCAGATCGCTCACCATATCCTCCCAAAAAGTGTGTGGAGGAATTCAAGTCCCTGACTTCCTGCCTGGACTCCAAAGCCTTCTTACTGACTCCCAGGAATCAAGGTAAGGGGTCAAAGTCTCACAGAAGAGGCTTAGGACTCACCAAGTCTTCCGGGGTTACAGGGTGAAAGAGGCTTGTGTAATGTCACTAGAGGCATGTGGCTAAGAGTTGTGATGTCACCTGAGGTAGCCAGGATGGGTTCTGAGCTACTTAAAAGAGAGGTTTGCCAGGCACAGTGGCTCATGCCTGTAATCCCAGCACTTTGGGAGGTTGAGCCAGACAGATCACGAGGTCAAGAGATCAAGACCATCCTAGCCAACATGGTGAAACCAGTCTCTACTAAAAATACAAAAATTAGCTGGGTGTGGTGGTGTGCACCTATAGTCCCAGCTACTCTGGAGGATGAGACAGAATTGCTTCAACTCTGGAGGCAGAGGTTGCAGTGAGCTGAGATCACGCCACTGCACTCCGGCCTGGCGACAGACCAAGACTTCGTCTCAGAGAATAAAAAAAGAGGTTTCTGAGTTTGCACTAAATAAAGGGTGCAGAGGGTCAGATGTGAAGGGAAAAGAACCTTAGAGACTCCTTTGACACAGGAATGAACACATCTCCCCTCCCCCACCCCATTACTATCAACTTTGCTTTTCTCCCTGGCCTTCTTTTCTGTCCTCTTCTTTTCTCCCTCTTCCCATCACAGAGCCCTGTGAGCTGTCCACTAACTGACCTGTAACTTCATCTAAGTCCCCAGACGGGTACAGTGGGAGCTGAGTTGTTGGAGGGAGAAGCTGGAGACTTCCAACTCCCATTTAAGATAATAAAGATGATTTTTCGATCCTCATTCTGGGGTTTGTCTCCAGACGTCATTCCTACTCTTCCCATTTCAACACTCCCCCTGGATCCTCTACCACCTAAACCCCCAGCTGGACGGCGTCAGGAAGAACAGAGTGGCAGTAACTCTCACTTTGTAGTGGTATATTTAGGAATTGGTGTGACACAGTCATTTATTGCTGAGTGAGTAGACCCCTAGCCCCCAAGTGGGGACTACAAGCTCCAGCGCTTCCCCCACACTGCCTGAGGTACCAGCCCTTCTGCATTGGCCCTCCTGCCAATACTGCCTGCACTGTCCCCACTCCCTCTTGCTCCCATGATCACCAAATCCGCCCTCAGGCTCCTTGTCACCTGTGGAGCCCTATACAGACCCCCTAATCCACTTGCCTAGCAGCTCCACTCTTCCCTCGATGGCTCAGATCCCAAGATCCAAGGAGTACCTTAGGTGTCCCAACCATTCTCTTACTGCAGAGGTCTGTCTATCCTGCCCTGGTCTCCTCCACCGCAGGAGAGTTTTGAAAGGTAGAGAGGACCCTTTGGTCTTTATTCTCTACCACCACACTTTTTTTTTTTTTTTTTTTTTTTTTTTTAAAAAGTGGAGGTGGAAAGAAAAAACTGAAGGTGGGAGAAATGTAAAATCAAAAAGTAGTAACAGCTGGTGAATCCAAGGGCAATGCCCTCACTGTCCATACACAAACACACTAAATAGCTGTTCTCTCCTGTGTATAAAGGGGGGCCCACATCCTCATACTCTGGGGTTTCTTCCCCATCCCTGAGATCCCTATGCTTACAGTCTGGGTCATGCTCCACACTTTTCTCCTAAAGCCCATACTATCTTCACCCTTTGCCCCCACCCCACCCCACGATCACAGCCCCTTTCCTGGGTCTCCCCTCTGCTCCTCCCCCTCCCCCTCCAACCCCTTACTCTCCCAGTCAGTGGCCTCCTCATCCCCACTGGGCTCCCGGAGGCTGACAGCCAGTACCAGGGCCTGTAGGAGACCAAAGAGGCAAGCAAAGTGCAAAGGGTGGGCAGTAAGTAGGCTCAGAACAGCGTGGAGCCCATGCAGGGCAGCCAGGAAGGACAGTAGGCCATGTAGCCAGAGGCCCAGCGGTCCACGCAGGCCCAGTGTGTCCAAGGCTGCCCGCAGTGGTCGTGAGCACAAGGCCAGCAGGGCAGAGGCCAGTAGCTCCAGCAGATGCAGGGTCAGATTGGTGGAGATCTGCAGACACTCCTCTGGGCCCCCCAAGTACCGGGAGGGAGCTCCTGGTTCCCCCTGCAGCCAGCCCAATAGCTTCTGATGCCTGCCAGGTTTCTCCACTGGGGCTCCTGGCCCAGGGACGCTCAATCCCCCTTCAGGGGACACCCCTGATCTCCTGGTGCCACCTGAATCCACATGATCCCATCCGAGTTTGGGAATGGCCCCTCCAGCCTCCAGTCTCCCAGACTCTTGAGTGCTAGAGACAGGTTGGTCCCACTTGAGGGAATCCATTGTTTTGCTACCTAGCTGCTCAGCTTGGAGCTCACTGCTTGGTTTGGAAGCAGCTCTAGAAACCCTCAATGCCTCTGAGTCCTTGGCCTTGGGAGGCCCCACATCTCCCATGGTTTCTGGGGCACTATCCCAGTCACTTCCTGAATTCTCAGGAGAGCTGTCCACCCGTCTGGGTTCTGGATCAGGTGGGTCAGGCCTCATTGGTTTCCGGCGGCCCCAGGGGCGAGGTAGCCAGCCACCAAGCCGTCGCAGGAACATGGTTGGGGTGTGTGATGGGCCCCTAAATTCTGAAGCTGCTTCCTGGTATTGCTCAGACTCTCAGGATCTCCTCAGAAGGCAGAGTCTTTCTGGCTCAGAGCAGGTATTTGCCTGGTGATGCAGTGGTACTCTGAATTCAGAAGTCGCTCCTCCCTTCTCTGAAGGGTCATGCAGCCTCAAGTGTGGCAAGTGGTTTGTTTCCTCTTCAGTTTTGGGATAAAGGGAGGCACACCCAAATTCATTCACCATCCACACCCCCACAAACAAGATTCCAAGAGTCTCAGATCTGATGGGCCTGGGTCACCACCAGAGTGTCCTCTGTTTCCGGATTTCCTTCCCAGCAGGCAGCACCCCAAGTTTCACTCACCAAGGCCACGCCCCAAGGTGCCCCAGAAACTGGGGAGGCAGTGCTTCATCCAAGAAAGCAGGCAGGAAGGTGGACCCAAGTTCTAGGTACTCCTGGATCATGTAGTTTTTAACTGCTGCCCCAAGGGACCTCGTGGAATAGGAATTCTCTTTGTTGGGAGGTGGAATAAAGTGTCCAGCAAACTCCAGCCAGCAGCGTTCGTCTCTTGATTTAGAGGGCTATGATTTCTACAAAGTGGCCCGATTGGCCCGCGAACACGCAGCAGAGACGCGACCTCCGCAAGGTCAGAACTAAGATGTCCTCGGAGATCCCAGTCGCTAGACAAAGCACGAGCCTACCTGGGGAACCCACGCATCCGGGTGATGTGCGCAGGGACTGCTCCCGGGCCCAGCGTTGGGGCCGCGGCCTCGCGGAGCCGCCGGGAACCGTGGAGCCCGGAAGCAGCTGCACCGGGACGGGAAGGACCCGCGGGGGCGGTGCCGCAGCTCATGGGGCGGACCCTGTGGATCGACCGCCCCGTGTCACTGCACCGTCCGTGCGCGCCGGACCGCGGGGCGCCAAGCTATAAGCAAGGGCCAGGACCTGAATATAAACCCAGCTCTCCATTTTCCTGGGCCTCCCATGTGCCCCTAAACTCGGTCGCCCCCTACCCCTGGGCTCTTTTTCACATCCCTACCACTCCTCCATTTCACATACAAAACTTCATGAAAGGCTTTCCCAGAAAGGAAAAAATGAGAGAAGTCTTGCAAACCGAACAGCCCTCCCCTGCCCCTCTCTGCAAATTTTAATTCCTAGGTTTCACAACAGTGAGCTCTTCCTGTGCCTAGTACCTGGCATGAGCAAGACAAGGGTGTGGTGGTGGGAGGGTGGGGAAGTATGGAAAAGTGTAGACAAATAGGTGGAATGAAAAACCTTGACTTAAAGTTTATATTTGAAGGCCAGAGTTCTGGTCCCAGTTCAACTAAGTGTACAAGCTTGATAATCGTGGGCCTTCCTATCACACTGACCTCTTCCAGCAAAACCCTACCCATTCTCTTCTCTAGGTGCCTTCTCTGACATCCCCTATTATCCTGTATAATATTTGATCACATGGCTGTTTCCCCTTCCAGTTGTGAACTCCTTGAGGGTTGGGAATGTCTTTACCTATATTCTTCACACATAGTATATGGACTTATGTTTGTAAAATTTGTCAACTGGCTGGAGTAGCCAGGGAACTCTTCTTGGGGGAGGTGAGACTTGCATGGAGCTCAGCAATTCCTGGTCCAGGGCAGGTTGAAAGAACAGGTGGGGCACTCCCAGGAGGGGCTAGGACCTGAAAGTAAATCCAGTCTGGCAGGGAGGGAGGTGACCTTAACACACCACCTGGAAAGGCCGCCCCTTCTTGCTCAGGTGGGACTTGCATGTGGCTCCGAGGCTTGTTCGGCTTCCTCAAAACAGCTTCCAAAAAGTGAATAAACCACAAAAGGTTGATTTATTTCTCACTCTCAGCCTGCCTCTTGCAAAGGCAGAGCCCACTGACCAAAACCCAAGGGTCTGCACCAGGGCAGATCCCAGGAAGTAGAAGTCAAAGGGCCCAGGTCAGAGGCCCAAGTTCAGACTTCAGCAGACCGGGGTCAGACTTTACCAAATTCAGAACTCAAGGTTCATGTAAGTCCTTAGATCCCGCTCCCAAGCCCTATCTTTCTCCTCCCTCCTACTCTCCTCCCTCCGGCTCAGTGTGGCCACCCGAGGAGCTCTCTCCCTCCCAGCCACAGCTCGGGTATCCCAAGCTGGGAAATGTGTTACTCGGGGCTGGGGTGCTGATCTGTAGCCTAGTCCTTCCTGGTCCCTCTTGAGGACAGTGGGGATGGGGTTGGCACGGCCCTCGCCCCGGGGTCCAAGCCCCATTCCTGGCTCCCAGCCCCCCCTCAGCAGCAGTTTGAAGCCTGGGCTGGAGACGGGCACCCCAAGTGGAAGGTTGGGAGGCCGAGGACCCTGGGACAGTGACAGCAGGTGAGCAGTGGATGTGTGATGGTTGGAGTCTTGGAAGTGGGTGTCACAGGTCTCGCAGTACTGGAGGGTAGGAGTGGGAGACCTGCAGATAAAGAAGAAAAAGCATTAAGGGCAGGGGAAGGAAAAGGGGCTGGCAGGGTGGGACAGGAGCCTTTCAGCTTTTCTAAGGAACAAATTGCTGGCTGGCAACAGTGACTCACCCCTGTAATCCCAACACTTTGGGAGGCAGAAGTGGGCAGATTGCTTTGAGCTCAGGAGTTTGAGACCAGCCTGGGCAAAGCCTGTTTTTT